GCAAGCACCACGACTCCAACGGTCCCGCCACACTTCTTGATCCAGACCTGCTCTAACCCAAGCAGCTATTTTGTTTGGGTTAGCGGCCTGCCCCTAACTCCTTTGTTGACCGCCCTTGCCGCGGCCAGCTGCCTTAGTCTTGACTACGGCGGCGAGGTTGCTACCCTCGGCACTCTCCTCGCCGTCAAACTCTGAACCCTCCACAAGATCGGAAACATCATCGATCTCGGTTTGATTCCCATCGGAATCAACCATCATCAATCGACCACCCTTCTTCTTCCACTCTTGTGGAGTCTTCTTCTTTCTCCCATCCGTAGAAGGGGTTTGAGCTTCACCCAGTGTAGCCTCTAAGTCTAGGGCCTTCTTGCTGAATGACTCAAATGTGTGATACTCGCTTCGAGCCTCGCTGGCTAATAAATTCCTAATGTCTGTGGGAAGACATCTTAGGAACATGGTCAGCAAGACCTGTGGATTGTACTCCACTCCCGGGACGACGATCAGGCGCTCTACGACTGTGGTAAGTTCTCGCACAGACTTGTACTTTCTAGTATCAAGCTTTAAAAGCCCATCAGTGGCAATCTGTGAATGCTGTGGGTTGTGCCAACGAGCCTCCACTAAGTCCATAAAGCTTTCTAGTGTGTGGGTCTGCGCCCAATCATGCATGTTCCTGCCGAAGCCCTTTGAAGGCACTAATCTATTTAGCCAATGGGTTGCTGAACCCTCTAAGTAGGATGCAGCAGTAATCACCTCCTCTTCTACCAATGTCCTCTTTGCCCTTACCCACACTGGCACCGTTCTGAACCATGTGTCGAGAGCCTCATCCTTCTTATCTCTTGAGTAGGTTGCAGGTGGGTTCAGTGGGGTCTTGGGGTACCAAGGATATTGCTGTCCCTGTTGTGAGACAGGTGGCGACTGTGGTGTAGCAACAGTCGTTGGACTAGAAGATGAAGAAGCAACAGTTTATGATAGGGCTACTGTTGATGATACACTTGGTGGTGGTGTAGACTGAGCGGCATAGAGGCCTGTCATCGCTGAGAGTGGCAGCGATGGTGCTGGCCGGATCCCTGGCTTGTGCATAGCATTCAGGATCTGGTCCAAGGTGTCCTGGATTGCATCCAGTTTACTGTCCATGTATGCATGCATGGACAGGATGCTCGCCTTCAGAATCTTTTCATTGTTGCTGAGGGCCGAGTCATCTAATCCTTCTAACGCAGCCTGGTCTGCCTCCCTGCCCTGTAGTCTAGCACTTCTATCTTTGATCTCTTTTTCTCTTTTAGTAGCCTGCCTAAGTTCCTCCTCTAACCTTAAGCGGATCCTCTCTATTTGCTGGAGATCCATCTGCTCCCGAGTGCGTGGAGGCGGCGAATTGAATTGCGAGCCCGCCATTTGACTAGTGCCAACCCCTGACGTACTGGAGATTGACTGTGAACTGGTAGGCATGCATAGCCCTTGACCAGTTGAGTTCGCAGCAGTTGCTGCGGAAGTAGCATTACTCATTGCTACCGCCCAAGCGGCTGTTGCTTCTCTTGCAGCCTCAAGATTACGGGCCCTAGCTTCAACCATTAATCTTCTCTCTTCTCCCGGTTGTAGGGTCTGGAACACTCTAGGAATTCTAAGGGATGATATCCGTGTTAATCTCCTATCGTCATCTGCACCTCCCTCACCCTCTGACCCACTCATAGGATAGGCAGACACTGTCTGCACTAATGTCCTCGCTGGAACCTACCGCAGCATGCGTCTGACTGGATCTAAGAATAAACAATTAAATAAATGTCCGGTGAGTTACCTAGCCTACTAATCAAGCGGCATCAACAGCATCTACACAAACTATACACATGGCCTAAGTCCTATTCTGATTAGTCTGCACAGAAGATTCGAGAAGAACTGACTCTGGTAGATTACAGTCCTAACTCTAGTCTGTCTGTTAGGTGTCAGCAGTCAGTCAACCAACTAATCAGAATAAAACTCAGACTAATGTGAGCAGATGTATGCACAATGGATATTATAGTGATGTACAGTTGAGTTCACATTTGGAATCCCCTTCCCCTGTATCCAACGTACCTGTGAGCATCATCAAGCTGCGGTGTCTAAGGTGTGCAACCACGGCCCACCCCTGTGCCCAAGAAGTATGCTTATGACCAGCCTGCCCTTTGTTTACCCTCGCGTGCAACGAGCCTTACGTCTGAATGATCTGGCTGATCAGGAGGGATTTAAGGAGAGCCCCCATCTCCTCAGGAATTATTTAACGTCGCAAACAGGACGACGATCACAGCCAGTGGACAATTCAGACCCCAACCAGAAATGTTTATAGACGGTCTAGGAGCGTCTCAATAGGACTGGTCAGTCCGCACACCCCTTCTATCAGCGCAGCAAAAGAGCCTTAATGGACAAAGCAGCCATCGCATGCGTGTACTGATCCCATTGGGTTGGCATGGTGACCGTGACCCACGTGCTTCGACCAGGGCCCTTCAGAGGCACCGCCCTCTCCTGCCAGATGCGCCACCGGGAAGAATGTTGTCTCTCAAGAAAGTTGGACTCACTTCCTCACGGTAAGAAGAGATTGAGAGGGTAGATAAGGAATGGGAACAACGTACCTGGAGATAGCTGCCCCCAACCACAAATTTCTCACCAATTGGGCTGATGTGCATTTCGATAACCGGTCAATAGCCTCGGTACCACCCACAACGCAATGTAGTGCCACCTCAGCCAAAATGCCACTTCAGCATACTCTCATCATCATGTATACATCCGCTGTTGCCACAGCTCCCACGCTGTCGCCACAGCCTTCCAGCGGCTGGCCTCTCTACCTAGGCCCCGCTAGTCGGAACGGCACCATATTGTAGAACTCTCGGCAAACGAATATCTTGGCCCTCGCAACGATGAAGAGCGCAGCGAAATGCGATACTGAATGTGAATTGCAGAAATCCGTG